AAGCCCATTCATTAAAACAAAATGGCCGCCAGTCGGCCATTTTGAATCTTACCTGAAAAACAAAATTATTTGCAGCAAGGTCCCATAATGTTTAATGTATATACCAAGTTTGAACAAAATCCATCTGCAAACAGCCGAGAAATGCTTGATTTTTAGGATTTTTTAGCACAAAAATGGCCACCATTCGCCATCTTGAATCAAATCGTAAAACAAAATGATGTGCATCAAGGTCCTATAATGTCTAATGTATATACCAAGTTTGAACAAAATCCATCTGTAAACAGCCGAGAAATGCTTGATTTTGATGATTTTTAGCACAAAAATGGCTGCCATTCGGCCATCTTGAATCAGATCGTGAAACAAATTAATGTGCATATGTATAACATCATGTATGATGTATGTGTGAAGTTTGATTGTGATTGGTCCAGGTATTTCTAAGATACAGGTTTGGACGCACGCACGAACACACAGAGGTCAAAACATAAGTCCCCGTTTTCGGACTGCGTTCGAACGGATACTAACAAACGCAAATGTATTTTGGGGGTATGTGCTATATTTGACATTTGATGATAGTCAATTTTGACAAAGTAAAGGTACCATTATCTCAATGCAAGATTCCTTTTCAAAAACGGACATTTCGATATTGACCTATGACTGGAAAATTACCCATTACTTCACCATTGAGATGACTTCAGTCTTATTTGTGTCAGGTTTTTTTTTGTCAAATACAGAGTATAAAAGTGGTTAAAAATGTAATTAATAATTCCTCTTGTGTTAATATTGCTTGTTTCGACACAGCAAATTTAAGACCAAATGCAACAGATTATTACATTTTTTATAGCAAATTGGTCAGTTTTTCTCTGCCTGTCTTCAGATATACATGTACAATCAAAAACGTCAATCTGATTCATTAAAATTTTCTTTGTTGTAACTGATGCCCAGCTTGGCCATGTGTACACAGTGGTAATGCAGAAAACACTGATTGGATTGCTAGATGCAAGATTGTATCTGTATTGCCTTACCCTTTTTACAAGACCAACCAACCCTGTGTTAGAATCAACTAGGATACCAGCTGGCTTAGAAATAACCTGCGATAGAGAATGATAATACATGTACAAATATCTAATAATCAACAACAATAGGTCAAACTCATTCTGGTACTTATTACATACTACGATTATACCCATTCAAAGTGAAATTGTAAAAAATTCGTTCAATGGCGCATTTTTCAGCATTAAATATAAATTTAAAAACATATTTTGTAACTATATTTGTCTCAGGCTACAGCTCTGGACATTCAATCACTCTTTTCTTTTCTGATATTTTTTTGGATGAAATTGCAAGTGCAGACATATAGTGCATTTTGCCACAGAAACAACATTAAAGTTTCAGGACTAGTCAGAGTGGTGTGCCCATCTTTCTATTATAATGGCATTATGACAATTTAATGTGCTATCTCGATGTTAACCACGCCCACAAGAAACTGTAGACTTTGAATAAGTTAATGAATTTCACACAGCAAATTTGGCCCCCCAGTCTGTAGCACATTCACAGAGTTAGATTCAGGAACCACTACACTACCAGTATGATCTGTCTTACCTCTTGATACTGACTACAATTGGAACAAAACTTCTTCCAACATTTCAGCTGGAGTTGATAATACTCCTCCAAAGGTAATTCATATCCGCCTACTTCTTTTTGTACTTCATTTTCCATGGCACAAATAACTGCTTGTTGTAAGACATTGGATCCCAATCTACTGTCCACAGATTGCTGATAAATCTAAATGAAATCATTCAACACCTACATTAAAAATACACACAAATCCAAAGCAAATTTGTTTATAGAAGCCTTCGTGTTATAAAAGTGAAAGTGGAATTAGTTCTCATTATGGGCAAACCAGGACTTTAAAACAAAAGTTGACAGTAGGCATTTCACAGGCACTTGCCTCTATAGCATGTATGAATTTCAAGTTGACATTAGTAATATCTATGATTAATCAACAATAGTTGATTTAGGATTTCAACAGCCCTTTATAAAGTTGATACACACAAGTTATACTTACATTAAGAGTCTTGGATATTGCTTGTAGAGAGAAACCACTCTCATGGAACAAAAACTGCACGTAGGCTTCCTGAGTATAATGAGAGCAAACATTGTCACTGAACTAAAAGGAAACTCAAATCAGACAACAATGTGTCAGTAAATTTATGCCACAAATTGACTTTGAGAACAATATTGGGTTAAATTTTCAGGAGAATACTTAAAAACTGATTACCATTATTTAGGAAAAATTTGGCTTTTGATCCATAAGACACTATGATTTGATAATTCATGGTACTGGCTGCTGCTGAACTCAATAAGTACCATAAAGACTATAATTTAGGCATCAGGGAAGAGTGAGAGCCTTAGTGGTGGTATTCCCACATAACAAAAAATAAGCTTATTTAGATTTAGTTGCAGGAGGTGTTTGTGGAATTTAATTATTAAACAACAAAACCTGTGTTGCCTGTAACTTGAAGAACAGTTAATTGGTAATTAAAGTTTGAATTACTAAATGTGGACTAACTGTTGACAGAAGGAGCACAGAATATAATTTGACTCACTGCAGGATCTTGGTATGGTGGTATTGGTACATCTGATGTATTGAGAGACGACAACACAACTGGTTTCCATCCTGCGTCACTACTACAATTACACAATATTGTATATGAATCAGTATAGTCTTATTATAGATTATTATGAATCTGTATCTCAATCAGTGAATATTGTGGTAAAAACTGTAATTTAACAATGATATGACTTTCACAGACTGGATGTTTTGACAAATGTACGACTGCCTACTATGGATATCAAGCAAATGATGCAACAAGGAGTTGTGAAAGACACATCAACAAAGACATCAGGGTTTACACACATCAAAGGAAATATAATTCAAGACCATTCTAGGCCAATAGTGATAGGATTCTAGACTACCTTAGTCGTGATTTATTAATAAGTGCAAAGGGAATGCTCATTCAAGTTTCACATAAATCAACAATTTCCAAGAATTAACACAATCTCTTTGGAGATATTTCATCTGAACAAATGCTAGAAAAGAAAAGCCAAATGTGATTTTTAGAATTCCAGGAAGAATACTAACACTGTATATCAAAACAAACATTTGTGGTTGTGTTTACAAATGAGTAATACCAGTATAAAATCAAAGCTTGTTTCAACAACATCAAAGTTGAGCTGTTGAAAGATGTAATTTTCCCAGCAATAATTCTTTTTGTACATGTATGTATGTTTCTATAATTTAGTTTTTAATCAATTTTGGACCAAATTTTACTAATGGCTACAAGTAGGCAACAAAATGGTTGAACAAATATGGAAAATAGTATGCTGGTTTATATTGTGCAAGGTGACAAATGTCAACTTCTAACCAGTTAAAAATAAAATCTACAAGCATAATAATCTCTGGCCAACATATTTACCCAAAAAACATTTTTTGAAGAAAGAAGATAATGAAATAGACAACTTTGTACTCACTCTTCAAACGATGTGTACTTGACTACTGTTTCTCCTTGTGTGGTTGTGAAGACAGCCCAGATCTGCGTGTTAGTTAGACTGAAGTCTACCAAGTTATCCTGCGATAAAAGTAAAAAACAAAATGTAGTAGTGCTGGGTAATCGATGGCGGCAACAAGTCAATTGGTATCACTGATATAAACATGTATCATCCAAAGAATAATTGGTAATTACATACATCACTCAACTTTTATCCTAAAGGCTAAGCGTTTCTGTTACATAATAATTGCTCTTACATCACCACCTCTATATACTTGTAACTATAACTGGGCCTTCACTAACCCTTCGACAGTGGCCAAAGGCAAATAACTATAACATGTATTTCGTCATAAATCATACATAATTCTGAGAAAATGGTCGCCATTAAAACGTGTCATTACATCTGGAAACATATTGTTCATTACGATTTCTGTTGTCACATATATTCGATATGAAATTCTTACATTGTGTATGAAGACAGAGGCAACCGATAAGAGACTGTACTGTCCATCTTGTAGTACGGGTTGAAACACACAAAACTGCGAATAAAATAAACAACTAAATTTAAAATAATACATAGACATGTAGATTATAGTAGAAATAAGTAGACATGATTCGTAAACTAAGACTATAA